GGTGGAGGGGAGTCCCCATTACCTGTAAAGCGCTTTGAGTGGAGTGTCCAGAAAAGCGCTATATAAGTGTAAGCAATTATTATTATTATTATTCGATCAGTCGGCGTCTTATCTGGCCTTAATTCCCTCTGTCCCGGGAGCATTCGCAGGGCAGTCAAGCGCTGTGGCTGCTTGTCAACACAGGGGGATAACAAGCAGATTTGCTGCTTTCATTGCCCACTGTAACGTCACAAGCACTTTGCAGGAGTCTGACACGCGGGTGTGCAGACAGGTGCCTACACTGCTGCGCTGCTCAGAGTCGGAGCCTGACAGCACTGAGAGAAGCGGCGCTGTAGCTCAGCTTGGTCCTGCTCCGCCGTTCACAGGCGCAGCTCAGTGTCTGGAGAGCTGGGTGAAGCTGGCACGTCCTTCCAAATAAAGCTGACAATGAGCTGGTTTAGGTCATTAAAACCTGCAGAGTCACCGGGACCAGAGCTGAACCGACCTGCTTTAGTTGGCCTAACCTCAGACATCCCCGTAATTTGCACAATATCGAGCATTCGACTGTCATCCTTTTACATTTTAACCGCAGCAGTCAGGAGTGCCTTGAGAAATGCAGACAGCACCGGTTTATGGTTTGAAACTGTACCTCAAGATTTTGTTTAAGTAAAAGATCGGAGAAATGATTAATGCATGCAGCAATCCTAACGGTGCCGAGAGGATGGCCTGTAATGAAATGTTTATTGCCACCTGGTGTTCTAATACTTTATTTTGACTCTATTGTCGATTGTGCAGCAAGTTCATCTCATGCATGTGATACTGCTGTGGCATTGACTGAGTCACCCCCCCTCTGTTGCAGACCCCCGCCTTGATCGTCTATGGTGACCAGGACACCCAGCTGGGGGAGGTGTCCCTCAACAACCTGAGGAACCTGGCCAATCACAAGGTGGTGGTGATGAAGGGGGCGGGGCACGCGTGTTACCTTGACAACCCTGAGGAGTGGCACAGGGTGCTGCTGGAGTTCCTGCAGTCCCTGGAATGAGTGAAATTCTCGGGGCGACACAGGAAGGCAGGGAGAGGTTTCTGGAGGCCAGACCCACAAAGTCTTTCCTCTGACAGCCAAATTTAGTTACACTAGTCTTCTGCATCCCCTCAGTTAGAGACTTCAATCCTGAGCTATCTTTCAGTTTCCAGTTTCATACCATTGAAATGTCATTGTGATTGAGGTTTTATGTGTGAGGAAGGCTGAGGTGTTTGTCAGTGTTGTGCCTCTAGCTGAAGTGAAAGCTGGAGGTTGCCGATTGATAGATATTCCCCTTTCTTTAATGATTTTAGTGAAACCCACAGATAGCGTTTCTGCAGCATTCCAGGTGTGAGCCAGGGAGGTGATGAAAGGTTCTTTTAATCCAGGGCTCCCCCAGTGTCCTGGAGGGCTCGTAGCTGCCCGTGAGCTCGCCGGTTTTAAAAGAGGTGGTGATCGGTTGAGCAGGTCAGACAGACTGCCCATGCTGGAACCCGAGGCATCAGACATCAAGGGTAGAGCATGTTGGTCTGGAGCTCAACAGCCTTCCCGACCTGGATCGGACCCTTGATTAATGCGCACCCTTGCTCAAACCCCCTGGACCCCCAGTCTCCGCTGAGAGGGTCATTTGAAACAAAAAAACAGGAATAACCTCCAACTGCCCCAGCTCTATTATGCTCTTAATTAAACTGTTTGCTTAATTGATCCACAACTGATTGAGCCCCACAAGACTTACTGGCCTGGGGCTCTTCGGTCAGGGGTTGGAGCCTTACCTTCAACACTGCTCTTTGGGGAACCAGCTGGAAGAGACGAGCACCTCGCTGTGCCGAACAGGTGTGTTTTAATGGGGTGTTGGGCACAGAGGACACTGCTTTGTTATCGACCGCTCAGCGTTCGCTCAAGTCTGTGTTGGCGTTGATCAAAGTGTCGATTTAAAAAAACGCCAGCTAGGCGTGAAATTACATCACATTTCGGAGCTTTACTCCAAGTGAAAATACAGAAGAAGGTCTGAAGGAAAAGCGTCTTATGGGCCTATGAGAGAACATGTAGGATTTCCTGGGGCTGGGAAGTCATAATTAGAAGAAGAAAGAATGGCACAGCTTGACATTTGGTGTGAGTGAAGGAAGAAAGGGTGGACCTTGTTTTAGTTTAATGGGTTTTTTTTTGTTTTTTTTAAAGGGCTCATAGAAAAATAAACCACCTCCAGAAACTGAATTTGTTCCACATCACTTTGTACTGGGTAACATTGTCACACTATTTGCTAGAGGAAATTATTGCTGCTGTGGGCATGATGCTAACTGGACTGAGACTTGCTCTTCTACTGTTGCTCCACACCTGCTAAATAAAGTGGTTCCACACCTGCACAGGGTGTCTGGCCATCATTGCTCTTCTCCAGCGTGCCTCTGTCTTCCCCAGGGTCCGCCTTGCTCTTCCTCTGAAGGCTGATGCTGCAGCCCCCACACTATCTTTGCCTGTTTCCAGTTGGAAAGGGCAGTCGTCCTGCAGATCATGGCTTCTCACATCTGCCTCTTTGGCCTCCTTTAGGAGTTACACCAGAGCTTTGAGGCACCCAGGTGAGACTTGGCTGGTCTGCTTAACATAATTGTAAAACCTCTAACCAGTCCCCCTACTGTATGTCATTCTTAGGCGACTGCACCTGTAAGTATCTTGTGTAATCAGCTGTAAGAGCCCCTTCAGGAGACCTCCTGCAGCGAACTAAAAAAAAAAACAAAAAACCAGGAACAGAATTTGAGAGCTCTGTTATAAAAAGTGACGCAGCAGGGCCAGAGGGATGAACTGACCCCGGCAAAGGGAACAGAGAGTTTGGTGGCAGAAGAAGTTAGAGTCCGTAGCGCAGTGAATGCATGCAGAAGTGCAAAGGATTTTTTTATTTTTATTTGTGCAACTGTTGTACTGGCTGGCAGCAGCAAAAGTGTTGAAAGCAGTGGTCCTGAAACCTAGTCCTGTAGGGACACTTAGGGGTTTTTTCAGCTCCTTTTCTTGCAGGTTAATGATAAGGGGGAAAGGGTGAAGGGAGGGGAACTCCCAGATATCAAGGGGCAGACAAATTCAAGAAAAGTAGCCATGCTGGGCATTAAAGAATTGGAATGGTACTCTTAGTTCTGCGAGTGCTGGAGAGCGTCGGAGCTGAACCGGAGAATGAGCTGCGCGATCCCTTCAGAGACAAGAACAGTCAAGACCACACAAACCACTCGCCAGCTCAGGTCTGAAGTGAAAAATATGAACATTATTTAATAACTGATTCTCTGTAATAAACAATTTGAAAATATTTTACAAGGAGTCACAGACAACGATATTTTACAAATTTTGCCTTTTGCGTCTATTTTTTGTGTTCTTCTTCTTAAGTCTGTACAAAAAAGAATGGAGCGATGGGGGAACCAAGCTTCTCAGACGACATGAGCTGCGTTTCCTCACGAACATGGTCACCAGCAGCGAACAGGCAAACCCCGAACAGACAGACAAAAAAAAAAAAAATCGCTTCGATTTCAGATTAAAACATATGATTAATCGGTAGTGCTTTTTTTTTTCCTCATAAAAGCTGAATTCTCGTTTCGTTAATGATTTTTTTCCATTTTACACTTTTTGTCAAACATCGTCACATAGCACCAAACTACAGACTACAGAATCACATACACGCTCGGTCTGAGTCACAGGCTTTCTCGAAAGACGCACCTACACAGAAACGGTGAAGGAGAATGACCCCCCCGAACCCCACCACCCCTCCCACCATGTTGGGCTGGAACACTTTTGGCAAGAGGAAAGCATTCCTCGTCCCACAAAACTCCCGAGTCCCAATCCCACCCCCTCCCTCCAGGAGCAGAACAGGCTCCGAGGGCCCCCTCCAGCTCGTGGCTGTGATCAGTGAGGATGAATATTTCGACACACACAAGTATATACTGTATATATGGACCTGTACAACTCCCAGCACCTCCATCGAGACTTTAAATGGGACTTGACACCCTGCAACGCAGCTGGCTGCTCGCCGAGCCTGGGGAGAAACGAACACAAAAATTCCTTGGCTTAACCTTTGACCCTTGGTCAGCCGTGCGGCCGATCGGGCTCCCAGCAGGCCGCAGGCATGGACACAGGCGTCCCGAAAGCAGTCTTCGGGGAGAAGAGGGGGGCGGTCGCTTTCGGGCGTGTCCTGCGCTACCCTCCTGTGGCCCCCCCCCCCAGACTCGGAAATTCGCCGCCGGAGGCTCGGGACGGAGGAGTGCACAACCCCCCCCCCGTTTCCAACCAGGAGGGAACTGCGTCCGTGTGGGGCGACGGAGACCGCCGGCGTTCCGTTCCTCGCGCCGGCCGTGGAGGGTCGCGGCTCGTCCCAGGAGAGGGAAGAGGAAGAGAAGGATGGCGGCCGGCCGTTTTCCTGCAGGTGGGCAAGGACGTGCTCCCAGTCGCAGCGGGGCGGGGAGGCTGGGCTACAGCGAAAAGGAGCCATCTTTCTGAGCCGATGGGCAGGACTGGGAAGGCTCTGGTACCAGGGTCCCCCTTCCTAAACGTGGGACTCGCGTCCTGGTCACGCCTGGGACAGCGCCACTTGCCAGCCCCAGAGGAAACCTGGCGGACAATTAGCTCTTCTTTAAATTTGAATGTAAACATACAGAGGGCAGTGTGTGCGCGGACACTCCTAAAGTTACTTTCTCCCCCCACCCCCTTTCCCCGGAAAAAAAAACAAAAAAAAAATTGCGATCCAGGATTCTGAAGCTGCAAGGGAACATTCACTCATACTGTGCTTTTCTTTGTGTTTCCAAAAGTCCTCCGAGGAAAACTGACGAGTTTGCATTCTGCCAATGATTCACGTCTCGGGCTGCAGACCAGCGTGCTGTGGAGGAAAGCCTTCTCTGTATTGCACTGAACTATTCCAAGCAGCAGGGTCAGCTGGGATCTTCTAGACCTGAGGTGTCCAGCTGTGCAGGAGTAGGACCTCGTTCTCAAGCTCCCCCTCTCTCTCTCTCTCTCGAAGTCTCGGCAAGACGCCACGTGTCTCGCCGGTGAAGGTCATCGTTTTGGGGCGACTTTCAGTTTCTCAGATCCGGCACCTGTGGGGCGCTGTGATTCCACACAAGGGCTGTGGGCCTCCTTGAATCCCCACTTGCTGAGCACCTCACAGTTTCCCCATCTGATCTCTTTCGCCAAAGTTCCGACTTGGTTAAGCAGCTGAGGGAGTACATCCTGACCCCCACGGCCCGGAGTTTGGGCTGAGTGCAGTCTTTAGAGCAGGGGTCTCCAGACTCGGTCCTGTAGGTCACCTGTATCTAAAGCTTGACAACACCTGGAAACTGCTGATCAGTTAAGAGAGCTCTAGTCCTTGAGCACTAAAAAGACCTCAGAATTACATTATAAAGGTGCCTCATTTTGTTGCTAAATTTAATAAATCACCTGTCTAACTTGATCACAAAGGAATTGTTCCTGATCACGAGAGAGCGATGATTTCATAGGGACCAACAAAACCTATGGATTGGAGCTCTGCTGAACTGGGGTTCGAGTTCCCTGCATGAACCCTGCACTGCCCATTCTCTGATCCTCTGTCTCCACCAGCTCCTGTTTCACCTAGCAATCCAACAGTTCTTCCACTAAAACACGCCCTGTGAAGAGGAGCCAGAATCATTCTGAGGGTCCGAAAGAAGACCCTACACCTTCTTTAGCCCTTAGGAGGCTAAAGAAAATCCAATCTCTGGGGTCTTAAACACTGGGGACGTTCGAGAGGACACAGACAGCCTGCTCGAGCGCTTCTGGATCAGAACCGATACGGGGAGAAACTAAGGGGGCGTGTTTCTGAGACGGGTACAGGAGGCACTTCTTGACATGAAGGGAGGCAGGAGCGTGGAACGCGCTGTCCGGCCACGCCGCCGGAGCCGAGCCCCACCCCCGTCAGCCACCGGCAGCCAAACGCGCCGACGCCCTCCCGTTCACCTGTTTCCGGAGGCGCTGCGCTGGGAATTGTGGATACTGAACGCTGTACCTGTACAGGCCCCCTAGTGTCCCGCATCACGGCACAGTTTTGTAGCTCCTCGACACGAGAATCCCGCTGGCTGCCTGGAAGCGTACGGACGTTTTTCAAGCGTCTCTGCACGTCTCGGTGCACCTACAGGCCGCGACCGTCCCGGGACGGCACCCCCGCCATCGAGACGCAGGCCATGGCCTACGCGCGACGTGGAAAACACGAAACGTTATTGTCCGCAACGAGAGGGTTCGGTCGCTCGTTTCGTTTCGTTTCGGCCCGGATCGGAACCACCTCTCCTATTTGCGGAACTCCTCGATATTACCAGCTGTGCTACTGCCGATTCTTCATTTCGTTTTCTAAAAACCAACAGCGTGTTCAGAGAGGAAGGCCTTGTGGGTTTCCTCCGACGGCCCCCAGACTTGGGACTCGTCGCCAAGCAGACAGGCCTGAAGTGGGGCCCATGTGGGTGAGCCCCCTCCCACCCCGGCGGTTTATCTATCTCGTACCCCACTGGGACTCCCCAGTCCTGCTTAAACACGAGGCGCCTTCATTTTACTTGGGTCCCAGGCTGACTGAAGCTCCGAGAAATCCCCAGTGTGAGTGGACGCCGGCCGATTGCTGGCTACGCAGCTGGTGTTTCAGAGTGAAAACAACTGAATGGGATCCTGGGATCAACTAGCTACTGACTACCAAATGGCTGCCTCTGGCCTGTGACATGTGTGTGTCCTTAGAAGGTATTTAGAAACAGATGTGTGCAGCCTCAGCGCAGCGAGAGGGGGCCAAGGAGACTTTATGACAGTGGTTCTCAACCTCTGAAACACAATGCCCCCTGTTAGTTAACACAAAACCATAGGCCACCTATTGGCACGTGAGCTAATAATCTTATTCAAAAAATGTTTTTTATTTCAGTTGCTATTTCGGAACTTAATCATACATCATTTTAAAATATTTTCTGCTTTAAAAAGCAGTGAAACCGATTGAAGGTAATAATCTAAATTCACACCTGAACTGCGGTTTATTTGAGAGTTCGCCAACATTACCAGTGCGAGCTCTGATGCTGCACAGCTGCAGAAAGTTTGAAAGATGTGGGGCTCTCTGGGAGAAAGAGCACAATGCAGAGGTCTGCGGCTCTGCTTATTTCCCGATCACCGAAAGCTCAGAATATCAGAAGAATCTCAATTAGAAGGCAAATCATGTCTCTACTTAAAAAAAAATGCTGCCTTACAGTTGGAAAACTTTGGTACTTGTTTTGAACTACAGTAGCTACAGTATATATATAAAAAAACTCTTGCACACTCCTGTGGATCGTTATATGCCGCCCAGTGACACGCACCCCACAGGTTGAGAACCCCTGATTTAATATTTGTGTCATTATTAACGGTCATCCCAATGGATGTTTTCTCAGCGTGGGAGATGACACCTGGCGACAGACTGCTAAGTCAGACTCCCACAGCGCTACCCCATCGTGCCAAGCGGAGCTTTTTGTTCTGTGCCAAAGCCGCGACAATCTTCCGTCATTCAAAGAAACAGGCAAGGTGTTATTTCCACGACGACCCAGCAGCGCGAAGAAGCAGAGACCGACCGAGCAGCAGAGAAACGCCGCAGAGCTCCGACGGCAACGAACACTTCGGTGGACAAGACTCACAGTCGCACGAGACGCCGGGAGCACTTGGGGGTGTATTTCCTCGCACTGGGAGGTGGTGCCCCCTGCTCTTTGCCCACGCGGATGCATTGTTGTTAACGGTATAATCCCGTGAAGCTCGCTATTGGCAAAGTGCTGCACAGCTATTGTAAATAAAACAGACTAAATGACTCTTCCAGGGCAGACTGGCCTTCTGGTGCACCGCCACTGGAAGGTGGTAGGTGCCTCAGGTACGAGAGCACCTACGCCTGGACATGGCGGACGGGTCCCAGCTGAACTACGCAATCCGTTGCTGGCCATGACTCATTTAACTGAGACCTCTGCCTGCTGGTTCCAGGAGGGTTGGGTCACTTGTGAAGAAAGGTAACGTGAACTGAACACAGCAGTGAACGCCTCAGGGCTACAGCTCATATTGAAGATCAAGCCAAAACTAAATGCGATGCGACAAACAGAATGAGAAAAAAAAAAAACCCTCCAACAGGCAAGCTGCCAGAAGGAAGCATATAGATCTCCAGAACCCTAAACGATTGTGTAAAAGCACTCAGATCTGTGCACAGTAAGATGTCCCTTGGGTAAAAACTACAAATAGCCCACACTGACAGGGTCGTAACTTGGAGACAATCAGTCGCCTGAATGGAGTGCCAATTCATTTTGAGATTTCTCTGTCCCTCTCTCTCTGTTTTGGCTATATATATATATAAAAAAATTAAGATCACATGAAAAAACTATCTCATTTTGGCAAGAAGTAGATAATAGTGCATAAACAAACTGATGTTAATAAATAAATTCTACTATTTCCCCTTCAAATCATATCCTACACACGGACATTAGGGTTTGAGTTGTATTTGTCTTGTTGTATACCTATTTGTTGTCATATATTTTTTCCTGTACACACAAGTGAATGGTACAAAGACTCCTATTGGACACAAAGACAGAAAAATCCTGGAAAACTCGAGGAAGGTCCAGAAGGGATGAGAATGGGAATGGCCGGTGTTGCCCTCGCCCCCGCCGGTCGCGGGTGAGCGATGGAGAGAGACGAGATGGATAAAGTCGCCGACAGCAGGAGGCGTACAAGAGGGCGTCCAGCTTTCGTGGGGGTTGTTTCCCTCCCACGCTGGCGTCGATGCGGTAGTTCCCGTCTCCGAAAGGTGAAAGGAAAGGAGCACCTCTCCGGCGTGGAAATGTTCAGCGGGCTACGTGGCCCAGAGAGTTGTGGGAGCAGGAGTCGAGAGGGACGGGGACAGTGCTGCAGGGCTTCCGGGAAGGAAAAGACAAAGGAAAAGACATGGGGAGGGGGGGAGCAGGAAGTCCCCGTCACCACGACAACCAGGGACCGACTTGGGGGGTAGGAAGGGGAGAGCCGTGGGGGTGTGGGGAGGGCAGTTAAAGGGCGGGGGCGAGGGGCAGGAGGCGGGGGGAGGCAGCCAGGTGGAACAGCAGCAGCTGGAGAGCCAGCAGCACTCCTATCGACGGCCTGAAGGAGTGGCCCCGGCCACAGTCCGAGGTGTTCTCCTGCCGGACGGGAGACACAGAGAGGGAGAGGGAGAGGGAGAGGGAGAGGGAGAGAGAGAGAGAGAGAGAGAGAGAGAGAGAGAGAGAGAGAGACGGGTCAGAGTCCCAGCCTCCCGCCTGCCTCTGTGCCTCTTTTAAATGATGCCCTGCACGTCGTCCCTCAGGAAGAGGACGGTTTGGTCCTGCCTTGCTGAAAGCACACAGACCTCAAACGGAAGGGAGAGCAGTGCAGGCGCTGCTGAAGGCTGCAGGCTCTGCCTGAGCACCTTCCTCTCCTCCATATTAAACCACGCTTCTGTAAATACAGTGAGACCGTACACGCTAACCAGAGCCCCCACTGTCCCGTACAGTAAATGTCGCCTGCTGCCTGGACCTGTTTTCAGGCCCTGTGTGATGTGTGCAAACTGCAGGATTAAGTGTTGTGGCTGTTGTGTTACACTCTCGGATCTCCACGATGAGAGCCAGCCATTCGAACACACTAGAGATCTGCACAGTTACTAATCTCTCACTAGTGACCAGGGACAAAAACATCCTAGAACTGCACACCGCTGGGAAGACCAGCTGACACAGGTTTGGCTCGGCCTGCTTGGTCAGTGGGCAGCCTCCTGGCCCCAAAGCGAGGAGCTCGGACCCCATCCTGAAGGAGTGACCCAGGGGCAGCAGCAGGGAGGAGATGGGCTGGGGGAGGCGTACTGGAGACGCACGTGAAGGGAGGAGTTTGTGTCTGACATGTAGAGCTAACTTCTGTAACGCCGGTGATGCGGTACAGCCGTGTGAGATGGACCTGTCATTGTTCCCTCCCGAACGTCGGTGAATAACGTCGGCCACGGGTGGGACTCTGCTGGAGCCACGGCAGGGAGGCCCCAGGAGCTGAGACGAGCCCTTTTCTCTTACCAAGGTGTTGTAGTCGAAGCAGGTGGAAGGTCCTTTCCGATACCGGGGCGTGGTCACGAGCTCGCACTCCTCCGGCCCTTTCGCTGGGAGCAGGGTTAAGGAAGCGTGCGGAAAAACCATCCTCCTGCACATGCTGACAACATCACACGCCCGAGCACCTCTGTCTGGGAGCATCCCCAGGGACCGGAACGGAACTAGAACTCATGCAAAACTATAGCTTCAGCTTACTAAAACAGAGAAAGCTGTAGCAACAATCCGTTTAAGACTCCTATAATGCTTCAAAGGTTACCTCCCCAGCAAACCCACCGGTCCAACACTGGTCTCTACCTGCAAGCCAAGCTAGTGGCAAAGCTTCAGAAGCGGAATATCAGACAGCAGACAGGCCTGTGGAAGCAGGGGGAAAACGGACTGTGTCTGAGGATTTCTGGGACAGTGGAAGGTGTTAGGTAGGCAAAAAACATCTTTCTCCGTATCTTCTGAGGGTTTGTTCCTCCTTTCCATGTGAGCCCCTTGCCCAACACCCTTGCCTGGAAGAAGGACACCAAGCAGCCGGCTCATTCTGCTAAACAATCGCCCTGCACCCCGGGCCTCCTTCTGAATTTCTTAACTGACTTCATTAAACATTAAGGCTGGAGCAAAAACCAGGAGACCAGCCCTCAAGGAAGCAATTCAGACGCCCCTTTGCCCGAGACGATCGGTGAGGAACACCCAGCACCCATGAAGCGCTCTCTGACCGGGGACAGGATACACCGCGTCTCGGCCTGGGACAGCTTCTCCACAACGCACGGGCTGCACACCATCTTCTCCGCCACCACGAACAGCAGGTTGGTGCTGTTGATCCTCTTGGCATGAAAGAGCCTGGAACGAGACCGTCAGAGGAGGACGGAGAACAACGAGAGCCCGCAGCTCGGCCCACGGACGACGGAGACACCCATCGGTCCGTCAACGGAAGCACTTCAGGGACCGAGCTGGGGAGTGATGAGCCCCGGACTTGCAGTCAGAGGGCCTGCGGTTCATTTCGCCTGAGGGCAAGGCGAGTTAGCGTGCTCTGTGGATCGGAGCACTCAGGGCCGGCAGGAAGACTTTCTGGGCTAAGGCAGCAGGAGCAGAGCTGGACACCCTCATACTGTAGGCCCTGGGGTAGTACCCATACTAAACTCCACCCGTGTCTGTGTGTGTGCAGACAGTATAGAGTGTTAATAATGATGCAGCTGGAGGAGACGGCACAGAGGTACTTCTCTTCTACACACCTGGAGCAGTTCCCACAGTCCAGGAAGCCGTTGTAGATGCTGGTGGTGTTGGTGAAGTAGAACTGCGTCTGCTTGGTGATGCAGCTCGTCTCCCTGGAGTCCATGCCCTCCGCCATGACATCGTCTGTTGCCGGGCAGAAGACACAAACCGGGAGTCAGACTCCAGCGCGACCGGCATCTGCAGTCTCCTGGGATATTCAGGGCATTCTCTCTTATTTTAGTGGGCCTCACCTCACCGGTGCGGAGCCAGGTCGAACAGGCCAGCCCGTACTGGCACTGTACTGGTAAAGTCAGGCTATTTAGGAGGCCAGAATGTGTTTGCTACTGGGAGGAACCCAGCATGCCCCTGAACGCAGAAAGCAGGGAGCGCTCACCTGTGTTGAGCCAGCTGTTATAGGCAAGTCCGTACAGCAGCTGCTGTAACAGGGACCTACGGGACGACCAAAAAAACAAAAGGATGATTCATCTTCCGAAAGAGTCGGTCCTGAGGTGAAAAGCGACTAGTCGGTCTGCTGCAGGGGGTCGTCTCCCCGAATGTCATGCAAAGGAGGGAGGTGACGATCCTTCTTACCAGGCAGCAGCTGTGGTCCACCAGGCCAGACTGAGGAAATCTGCCACCGTGGGCTGGATTCAAGAAAAGAGCAAGCCTTAAACAAACACGATCGGGGCCAAAGCACTTCCTTTAAGGATAAACATGGGAGCGAGAGCAAGAGGTGAGAAAATGAGTCATGTAGTCAAGGGACATACAAGCTTTTGCCTTTGATTCAAGTTTTCAAAATCCTGCAAGGCCCTGACCACGCCGCTCCCGCGGATCTCTACACAAGGAACCGCGGGACACGAACTAGAGGAGACAAGGGGAAACTACATGAGGTGCGAGTAAAACTGAGAACAGGAGGAGCTTCTTTACACAAAGGGTGGCGGGGGTGTGGAACAAGCTGGGCAGCCATGTTGTCGAAGCCGATACCCTGGCTTCTCTCAAGGCACAGCGGGATCCTCTCATCGAGATCCTCGCCCCACCGCGACGTCCGTAAGGCCACTCACCACGAAGACGCCTCTGGGTGCCGCACCGGTGTTGCTGTTGGGGGTGGGGGCGCAGACGGACTGGTAGTCGAAGGACTCCTTCCTGTTGTAGAAGGAGTTGTTGTAGAGGGCATGCATCAGGGCGTAGTCCACCTCGCTGAAGAACATCCCGATCTGAAGGGAGGGGACACACACACACACAGTCAGCTCTCCCCTCTCCCACTGCTCTGCGCAGTCTTGTAGCTCGTGGGTGCCCGGGTGCACGCCCTTACCAAAAGTTACTGTAGTCAGCTTCACAGTCATTTTTGAAAGCATTTAATTCGCTCACTAGTGATCACTGTCATCATTATAGCATTAATATCGCTGCGGATTATGCCATAGCTCTAAGCTTGCTTGACATGATGTATGACTTCCCTGTCTTTCTGCATAATTAATTAACTAATCAACCAACCAATCAATCGATCAATCAAATACACTTTTCTCAGCTGCTCTCATACAGCAATAATGAGCAGAGGCAGCTGCGACACACAGATTTTGAAAGAACATTCTTACTGGTGTGACTGGGTTCAGTCTGAAGAGAAAGCCCCGTCCAGAAGGCTATATACGTATTTAACCATTTACCCATTAAGTGCTCCATTTCAACATTCAGCTGACACAGTAAAAACAACTTCACTGTGATCTTTCAAGCAGGTCGCTCATGACAGGAAGAAATACAAAGGTCTCTCAGCTTAACTGAACAAATTGTGCTCCCAATTTTACAAAGACGAGAACGCTGGAGGTCTTGCACTCCTGGTGTCAACCAGGATGAGCTCCAACCAGACATTTCCGCTACTTTTCCAGGCCAGGAGCGGCTCGGCTACACTGGAGCAGTCTGTTCTGGGTGGGAAGAGGCTGGCGGCCAGGGTGGGGGATTCCTCACCTTGCTCCAGTGCTCCCTCTGATTGGACATGACCAGGAACCCCCCATCGTCAATCAGAACACACAGCAGGTCCTGGGGAAGACAGGACAGTGAGGGGCACATTACAGCGACTGAGACTGTGGTCCCTCACGTTGCGCCCAGAAACCGAAGATCAGGAACTGCTCAGAGCTGCAGAGCTGTGGATCAAGACTGAGTGAATTACAATACACGATACTTCACATTATCAGCAGCCTGGAGCAGGGGTGACAGCTCTAGGCTCTCGACTTGTGTGGAAGGGGTGACAGTTCTAGGCTCTCGACTTGTGTGGAAGGGGTGACAGTTCTAGGCTCTCGACTTGTGTGGAAGGGGTGACAGTTCTAGGCTCTCGACTTGTGTGGAAGTCAATCTGTATAATGTCATCAGCCTGATGTTAAATAATTAATAATAAAAATTAATAATTGCTTACACTTATATAGCGCTTTTCTGGACACTCCACTCAAAGCACTTTACAGGTAATGGGGTCTCCCCTCCACCACCACCAGTGTGCAGCCCCACCTGGATGATGTGACAGCAGCCATAGCGCACCAGTACGCTCACCACACACCAGCTATTAGTGGGGAGGAGAGCAGAGAGTAATGAAGCCAATTCATAGATGGGGATTATTAGGAGGCCATGATTGGTTAGGGCCAATGGGAAATTTGGCCAGGACGCCGGGGTTAAACCCCTAAATGACTAACTAGAATAAATCAATCAAACGGCTTATGGTGAAATGAAGGAGAAGCGTTTATCTTACGTCGCTGTTGACTTCACAGTCCATCTCACAGCTGCTGGAGAGTCCGCACTGTGAATGAGAGAACAGCACGGTTGCGTTTAATTCGCCGCAGGGGAGAGTGTCGACATGCTCAGGCCTTCCTTCCTTCCACTGGCACAACGAGCACAGTAATCCTTAACACAGCATCCATAATGCGCTCCTGGCTCCGAATGCATCGGTGGGCTACCAGGTCTTGGATGGGTGAGATCTGTCCGGTCCGACACCCACATGCAACCCCGATGGCCCATGGTGTTTTAATGTCGGCTCTCCCGACCTCTGACCTCTGACCTCTGACCCCCGACCTGTGAGCACACGGGTGCAGGAGGGCATGGGCGTGGGCGGCCTACCTTGCGTGCGCTCTGTCGGCCGTCTGACTGGTTGCTGGCCAGGATCTTGAATTTGTCAACCCAGGCCTCCAGGTCCAGCTTCCCTCCCACCACTGGCGAGACGGGGGGAGAGAGAGAGAGGGAGCGTGGGAGAGAGAACAGGCACAGAGATACAGGGAGGTCCTGTGAGGTCGCAGCAACTCCTCCTTCTTGGCCCCATCAGCCCAAATACTAGCAGTGGATAGCAGCGGTCAAGGTCGTGGGCTTCTTAGTGGGAGGTTACAGGTTCACATCCCAAGCGAGACACAGCTGTTGAACCCCCGAACAAAGCACCTCCCCTGGCTTATTCCAGTACAACACCAAGCTGTATAAATGAGTGCAAATCTAAGTTCCTTTGGATAAAAGTGTCGGCCAGATAAATTAGTAGTAGACGTGCTTAGCTTTCACTATTTCTTCTACACGTGTAGTACAAGGGGACTCCTTGTGACGGAATAAAATATCCAGCCTCAGAGGGTCTAAAAGTTTTCAAATGCTTTTTCATACTGTCAGAGCAGCTCAGCTGAACCTGGGCTATTCGTCTGCCCTGGATTCACAAAGCCTTGCCTCTCTGGCAGCCAGTCGACTTCGGGCAAGAAGCAGCCAGGTAACCACATCAGAGCTCACGTGGTGATGCGAGACAAGTGACAGAACAAAATCTGTATAATGTGATTGACTGATGGTTTCTGAGCTCAAAGTGTCAACAGATATGTACTGCAGAAGGGATCAAACCGATCATGCTCTAACTTTGTGCGTTTTGAGTAAGAGGATGTGACAGGTACTGTATTTCACCCACAGGACCCGGTCCAGACGGCCCCTGTGTGTTTGGCACTGTATGGGGTAACAGGGAAACAGACCAGGGCAAAAAAAGCCAGAGAGCGCCCCCTACCTGCTGGTTTGAGGACCTTCCCACCGATGTTGACCTCTACCGCGGTACTGACCAGGATTTCTATGGTGTCGTTTTCGGCAAACATGGACTTGTAGCCAGCTGTGAGGGACAGGAACAGGACAGGGCTGGAACTTGCTCAGGGATAACCACTTCATTATGAAAAACAAGCTGTGCACAATTCAGGCAGCCAGATCTACAGTTTGACTCTGGCTATAACCAGCTGGACACTAAAATATGCACTCTGTGACTGGTGCTTAAGTCCCCACACCAAGTATGTATGTATGTCCTTTAAATACAATTGTTCTGTAGCATAAATTCAGTGGTTTAAATACAGTATGTTTTGTCTGTCTTGAGATTGACTGTAACAGAAGAGGCTGGCTGGGGCTGTAGTTGGATTATAAAAAAGGCCCTTGTGAACGACTGCATCTGGAGCATAGCAGCAGAAGATATACTTGTGTCCCCATTTTACTTACTCTCCAGAAAGGCCTTCGGCAAATTTAAGCTCATTTTAAAACTTCACGGAGGTTACAGGCAGAGATCTCCCACCCCCACAGCTATAGCTTGACGCATGGTGAACAAAGGCAGTGCAGGGGTCCCTAAAAGACTGAGTTTGGGGTGAGTGGGCTTGAGATTGTGTTTCGATACTCAGCAAAGCAATGGGACAGTAGTACCTGTGCTCAAAGAGTGCAAGGAAGCCTACTAAAGGTTCCTCATTGGATGTAAAATCATGCCGATCCTTTCTGGAGCACCCTGGGATAGACGTGTCCTGATCTAGATCAAAACTGAGCTCAGGTGCTTCTCTAGCGTCAGTATTACAATCTGGCTGTAGATCTCGATGTTTATGTAAAGAGCAGAAGGGTACTGCATTGTATTTGGAGGATGGGGCTGCTGAATGCTCTCTCCAGGAGGCTGCCTTGGTCCAGACGAGCTCTTCGGCCCTTCCAAGGGAAAGGCCTAGTTTGGCGTCCCTCAGACTTGTGAACGATGCACCCAGTGTCCAATTCAACGGGGAGACCAGGGCGGGCGAGCTCCCGAGGATACGCACCGTCCCTGTAGGGCGCTTTGAAGATGTAGCCCTTGTTGTCCAGACTGCGGCGGTAGTAGCTGGCGTTGAAGGGCTCGAGGTCTTCGTCCCAGGTCTCTGCAGCCCTGCGCAGCACGGACAAGAAAAGCACACAGGCGAAAGGGCTGCGGTCAGAAGCTCGGGGGCACGCCGACGCCACCTCATGCCACCTCATCTTGGTTCCTACCAAGACGCCCCTCTACCTTTACGTTGTCTTTAAGGCCCAGCCAACTGGGCAATGGAGGCAGGAACAGAACGGATCCTGCGACCCGAACCCCTCTAACTGGTGCGTGCCCCCGAGCGCTCCACTCCCCAATCCTCCGCACGATCCCGTCACCCCCCTAGGCAGACGCAGGAAGACTCACCTGTTAGGGAAGACGCGCGTGATTCCTCCATCCGTGGCAGCGAAGAGAGCCAGGAAGCCGTACCTGAGCAAACCGAGCAGAGAGCAGAGAGAAGAGAGTTTCCCCAGACGTCTGCGAGGAGCCGGAGGGGGGCGGGGAGGCGGGGGTACTGACTTTACCGTGCCCAATCTTTGGCACTGTCGCCGTGGTGTGTAGCAAAGCCCCTTGAAAAGCAGGAGGTTGGGGCCCTGCGGGAGGTGAAAGCGACGAGCAACCCGTGGCAAAAGGGGGAATTGTGGAAATCGGAGGCAGTAAAGTGTTTTGACGCAAAAAAGAGCCTTAAAACAGCCTGAAAAGATTCCTGAAGCCCAACAGGAAGAGAGCGCAGAACAGTAGAAGGGCAGAGGCAGAGGTGTCTCTGCGTTTCCTCAGAGGGGCCCAGAGGCATCTGCAGGGCCCTACACCCATCAGGATTCCTACATGATCAGCAGCCATGCAAGGGGCTCGGGGAGTGCAGGAGGAAATGACATAGAGGCTGGAAGACAGAACAGGGTGGACATCTTCCAGGAAGGGAGCTGGCGGATCCCACTTACGTGTTCAGATCCCAGTTTTTCCACACCTTGTTGACCAGCTGCCTGATGATCCCAGTGTCCAGGATCAGGTTGTGCAGAAGAAAGTTGTCGCCTTTGATGGGACAAAACCCAGATGATGACAATCAGAAAAGGGATAAAGATAAACGGACAGATCACAGAAGAATTAAACAGGACACCGTGCAGCTCCAAGACAGAAGTGAATAATCCCCACATTATTATTCTGACACACATGGGATGAGAGAGAGGAGACAGGAAAGGTGAGAAAGACTGAATGTAGGGCAGCAGGAGAGGAAGGGAAGTGTGAGGAGAACGATTACAAATGATTCCTTTTATCCCAAGGGATTCCAAAACGCTTAACATTACAGAAGGGACCCTCTTCAATTCACCAGCAGCCCCACTGCAGCACGTCAGGGGAGGAGAGGGAAACTGCTGCACCAGCTGAATGAGGGGAAACTATAGGGAGGTCAGACAGTACAAGACCAGAGGGGGGTTTATCCAGGAGACCAGGGTTCACAGCCCTGCTCTTAAGAAGAGGGCCTGGGATCTTCAGTGACCAGGGGAAAGAGCGCCGCCTAGTGGCCCACCAGCCTCACTTACAGCAGCAGCCTGGTTTACCTTGGTGGCCTCCAGCCCCAGTACCGACCCGGCCCGGCCCTGCTCCTTGCGGCAGGTCTGGCGAGGTCTGGCGAGACCGTGACGGCGCTGTTGTCCGAGTCCGAGTGCCAGAGGGGAGACAGAGGGGAGACGGAGAGAAAGACAGGGAGATGCACTCACACTGCTTGGAGTCCGGAGTGACCTTCTCTATGAGGGCGATGAAGTTTTCCAGGAATTCGGTGTTGTCATCGGAGATCTGCAGATCCTTGCAGTATTCCCTGGGAATGCAGGGCATGGTGGCACAGGATGGGGAGAGGATTTGGTTTGTTTTTGTTTTTGTTTTTTGTTTTTTTCCCACGACAAAGAGATAGAAGAAACAAACAAATACGATGACGACAACAACAACAACAACAACACAAAAAGGTACGCGCTTGCCTCCCAACCCTCCCTGGTCACCGGGACACTGCACCGCTGGGACAGACATGCACTCGTCACACGCACGCGCTCCGAGCACAAACGGGCCGAGCCAGGCCCCTCTCATCTGGGCTCAGTGGCTCAGTGGCTCCCCCCCCCGAGCCGCAGTCCGCCACGCCCCAGGGCATGCTGGGTGCCGGTGGGCAGGGTATCTGTCCAGGCCGTGGTGTCACCCCCATTGCACGAGACCCGCCCCACGCCCACGCCCACGCCCATGCACCCCGATCAGCTCGTTGACAGCCGCCCGCCCGCCCGCTCCGCTGGAGATGAGCTCCCTGGCCTGAGGCTGCGAAACGCCGCCGCCGCCGCCGCCAACAACAAGAACGCCGACAACGACAAAGGCGTCTGGGAGGGCACCCGGCGCCGCGCTGCTGCCAGAAACAGGTCCGTGCAGGTCCAGACACAGACGCTCGCGCCCCCTCCTGCTCGCTCCGCAGCGCACTTGCACACAAAGCCCCGCGGCATGCTGGCATGCCCATTCCATCTTCAACCATGCTGAGGCATGCCGTCCCACTGGAGACTGGGAGACTGGGAGACTGGGAGACTGGGGTGGAGGGGAGTGGTGTCGAGGGTGGGAAAAGGACGGGAGCTGTGGGCTGTGGAACTGTGGGGTTCGGGTAGGGGGAAGGCGGGGGGGGAGGGAGGGTCTTTGAACGGTATGTGAGATCCCTTTATCGGTATGATCCATTGACATAGAGCACTGTGTCACACTCCTCTGGATACACCCATGGCACAAAATTCAACCAGATTGAAGCAACGACAACGACGACGATGACGACGACAACAACAGCAGCGACAAAAGAAAAGGAACAACAACAACAACAACAATAACAACAAAAAAGAACGAATAAAACCCAACTGGAAACCAGTGGCGAGGAGAGCCTCATCGCGATGGGGGGCAGGGGGGCAGGGGGGGTGTGGCGGGTGGAAGACGGGATGGCAGCTGGCAGGGTGGCGCGTGACGGGTAACAGAGCCGACAAAAACAAAATAAGAGGCACTGATGGGAAGAAAGCGAGCAGTACACACACAGCTACCTGGGAGCAATGAAAACGTGTCCTTCGGACTCAAAACTGTCTGGCTGCAGAGATTCAAAATCTGCAATAGAAAGGCAACATTATCTGGGAAGAGCCGTCGAGTGGGCATGGCGTCGTTCATCAAGAATAAGAGCTACTGGTCGACTAGCGAGGAGAAAAATTTGAGGGCTGAATTTCATGTCTTAAGACGATGCCGGGGAGTGGTCAACCAGTTAACATTTAGGTTTCATGGAGGGAAAATACCCGTTAGCCAATATGTTGCCAAACATGATGCATAATAATTTGAGCAATGCATGGTTTTACTGAGTCCTTTTGCAGTCGTCTTCCAATTGAAGAATTAAAGGGAAAAAAAAAAGATGATCGATTCCTTCAAATTAAGACAGCAAATGCACAGCAGGGGCTACAGAGAACTGACTTCCCTTGTGTTGCACTTGACAGGAAGTGAGCTGTCCGAGATATATCCCCCCAAAAAGTGGATTTTTTTTTTTTTCATCAGGCATCAACATGGCCAACTGTTGTGGAGTAGGTGGGTGGGGCAAGGGTCCTGATGGAGACAGTCACACCACAGACAAGCAGAGAGGACGTCTGCCCAGGAAGTCAGAGCTGTGGAATCGTGGGAAGTGCAAGGCAGTGAGAAGGTTATGTTCAGGGAACCAGTTTTATTTTTTTTTTACTGTTTTTCAAAAAGCATTTTAACTGGACAAGAGAAAACAATCTTTGCGGGGATTAAAATGGAAGGAATTCTACGTGCCACCAGGACCACCCTCTTTCCACAGCTGATGAGGATCCTTAAGAGACGCAGGAACCTGTTGAAGTGCTATCTGGACTTCACCTCAAAGCCTGCCGTTCTCGGGACAGCGCCGCAGTGCACGTACTGGCCCTCCTGCCGTTTGGAGATTTCACGAGGCGAATCGAGGAACAATGCTCGTCTTCAAAATCTGCCTCTCCCAACTTTACGAACGTGGGCCCGGCGGCGCAGAGGTATCTCAACGATGGCAACAAATTGTGTCAGCAAGAAAAACAACTCATTTCCCGGTGACATCGCCCCTTCTGCTCCCCGAACTCCTTCCGCATCTTCACACTGCTCGCCAGACAAGCCCGTGCAGGAGAGAGGAAGTGGAGATTTTTCAGCGCTGGGACAGGAGCTCTCAGGCTCGGCTGCAAACGTCAAGGAGTCTGTGCTTTTGGTCACGTGCAGAAAAGGCCTTCAGAGACACACTGGGCGCCAGTCAGAGTGCAGACAAGTGGAGACGTCGCCCAGCGTCAGAATGGCGCGAACTTGCTGGGCTTTTCTTTGTTCCACATGGGGTTTCAGCAGCCGGCAGAAGCCTGCTTTTCACTTCAACGTAAACATAGCAATCAAATCTCAGTCTCTGCCAATTCAAACTGGCATTCAGGAACAGGCCATTCCAAAACCGCACTCTTCAGAGGCAGTGAGGAGGGCTGTCTGTCACCAAGAGAAAGAGGTAATTGATTAACATTTAGCACCTGTTTGTGACCGGAGGCAGGTGGGTAGGTATTGGCAAGGGGCGGGGGAAGGTTATTTTATCCTGTTCAGAATCATCTGAATCATTTAGAAGACAAGAAGGTGGTATTGAGTTCAGATCCTGGTGTCGAGGGAGCTGCTGTAGAACTGGGCCCAGATGTTTTCCCACCCACAATGCAATGCACTTCCCGGACTGGTTCTGGTCTCGGCGGGGCAGCTCTGGATGTCTGTGGTGTGATGGCTGGACCGGGACACACAGGGAACAGGGAGCAGGGTGGGGGATCTGGGTACAAGCCAATGAACACAAGGGTACAGGAGGAAGCCATACACTGGATTGACACGCCACGAGGCGCCCCTTTGCAGAGCTGAGATGCGCCACAGGTAACGGACCAGGCGAGAGTGAGGGGTCCAGCTGAGCTTTGGTCAGGGCTCCCACGCTGTTGCTCAGAGCAAGCTCCGTACGCTCACTCTCTCTCCGTTTCTGTCTCTCTCAGAGGGGAAAGCACCGCTTGCTTTTCATCGTCTACGGACAAGAGTCCCTCCGGGTGCCGGAGGGATTTCCTCAGGCGTAGGGTTGCTTTTTGATTATTTATTTTTTTGAGGGGGCAGTTTGGAGGGAGAGTGTGGTGGGGGGTTTTAAAAAAACTGCCGGCGGCGGAGGAAAAAACAAAAATGGAAGAGACACGAATGGGGCAGCTCTGCCCAGCGTAACACAAAGAAGGGTTGACCCAAACCGCTGATAAGAAAGCCACGGATTGTGGGTTTAACCTACGCTAGAGACCGGACATCTCCGATCTGATCACAATCTGTGCACATCACAAGAAGGGGGTCAGAGGTCACCACTGTGGGCTGAATACCAAGAGATTCCTCATTAACCCAGCTGACTGGGCAACACTGGTGTGGAAATGCCCTTTTCCTCTTCTCGAAAAGCAAGCAGCTCGACTGCATGAGTTCTGAACTGCTGTAGGCACTGGCTACAGACCACACTGTTGCTTCCTAATGCTATTTTGTTTTAAGAGAGAGGTCTCTTGATATTCACTCAGTCGTGGCTGCATACCATCCAATGCATAACTTTTATCATCTCATTGTAGTCGACGAACAAACAAAGGGAATAATTAGGAGACAGAACTGGAGATTAGGACAGAAAACATCAGTGGGCCCACCAGTTCTACACTTTCTGTAAGTCCCACATGTTCCGTTCCACATCCCTCCTCTCGAGGGCGCTCCTACCCTTTTCTGTTACCGTTTAGGTTCTATGATTTCCCAGTGTGTCTTGTTTGTATTTTGGTTTAAAAGCCTAGCGTCTCCGCAGCTCCTGGCTCGGCACCGGAAGACGGACGTCCGAAGGCCCGCCTGTCCAGCGGCCCTGGAGCACCATGAGGGCATAGGGCCTTCACCGCGGCGTCCTGACCTCCGAGCCCGGGTCTCGGAACGCCTGGTCCCGTTAAGGTTTGATTTCTCTGTGGTCCTTGATTTCTCCTGGCTCCCCTTCCCGGGGATTTTAAGTGTCTTTGTCTCGGATGGATCTCCCGGTTCATGGAATATGGCCTGTGCCCCGACCACCCTTCTGGACCTCCCTGAACTTGGTTGCTTTCGCATTCCCCCCCTGAGCACCGGATCGCCGCAGTCACTGCCCCCTGCCTGGCGACCCGCCCTAACCCTGCTGTGTCCTCCCCTGAGGTCCTTCTCCAGACTCTTCCGGATTACACCGTCACACACAGGGTCTAAAACTACACGCGACAACGTGATTCTCCCGAGCACAAAAATCACGCGGGAGGGAACGGCCTCACCCCGCGACTTTGCTCAACCTGCTGACTGGTAAAGAGACCCCTTTCTGCGGCAATGCCCACTACAGACTGCACTATCCAAACGAGCAAGTGTCGCGCCTCTTGAGGAAGCAGAAGCTTGCTCTCCTCGGCCTGCGGGCCAGGCTCAGTGCCTTGGAAAGATGAGAGCTGCACGGGTCAAGATACTGAGCGCAGAAAACACCTTCCCGACGCCCAGCGTAGGGGGGTCGGCTCGTGACCTTCCTCTGTGGTCCCGGACACTTAGGCTGTGCCGGTTTATCTGGGTTTCACACAAGCCGGACAGAGGAAGGAGTGAGAGAGAGAGATAAAGGAGAGAAAGAGAGGGAGGGAGGGAGGGAGAGAGAGATGCCAGGAGAGGGACACGTAGTCAGACGTGAGGAAATCAGAGCATTTCACACGGGAGAGAAGGGGAGGTGAGAGGGGAGGGGAGGAGGAGGAACAGAACAAAGTAAACACACTGAAACTGCAAAATCAAAGCAGCTGAGTCTTTTAGTTCTTACAGGGGGTCGCTTTTGGATTTGTCTTTTTTTTTTCGGCTCCAGAGAAAAGTGTGAAAACTTCAGCGGAATTAGGGGTGGGAGGGGGGGGGGTTTGTGAAGTGAAGGAGTCCGAACGGGAGAACTGACAAAGCCATCGCGCAACTCTACAGACATGTGGCCTCGCGGAGGAGTGGGGGCGTGGGGAGAGAGGAGTGAGGGGGTGTCGGGGGGGGCGGGGTTCTCGTAGGCAAGACGGGCAGGAGGAAGAGGAAGAGGAGGAGGGGAGGAGGAAGACGAGGCAAGCAGGCTTGGGACGGCGAAGGAGGGAGGAAGTGGGTGGGTGAGTGAGGACAGGAGAGGAAGTCGGGGTGCAGGGGGAGAGAGGGGGTGAGGTGTGGGGTAAGTGGACCAATATTGAGTATACTTGCCCTTGTTAAAGATGTTTTGCACTGTGTGAGTCCATCAGAGAAGAGTAGGCAAGAAAAAAAACAGGGGGTTCGGGTAGGAAGGGGTCACAGACAATATTTTATTCAATTACTATTTGAATAAAAATATTGTTTTCTTCAAAAGAAAGTAAATCAAAAACTCAGTCATACTGAAACAGAAAGAAAAGACAAAAAGTTAAAGAAAAAGAACGAAAGGAAACGATACCGAGAGAAAAACCGTCACGCCCAGGAAATGATAAAATCCAACTTGACGACAATAAGACGTGAAACTGGAAAGAAAAGTCTTCAAACAGAAATGACACAAGATCCAGTAGCAAAAACCCCCACAGCAGCAGCGAGAGAGAGACAGACAGAGAGAGAGAAGAAGAGAGAGGAGAGAAAGAACGGGAGAAGAGCACCCCCCGCCCCACCCTCTGACCCCGCTACTGAACAGACGCGCCCATGCAAAATAAAATGTCAGGGAAGCAGGGAGGAGAGGGGGGCTCTGTTTCTTTCTTGGCCGAGGAATGATTCCAAAGCCGACAGCCAAGCAGCAGGTTCAGGAAAGCGGTGCAACACAGCGCGCTAGCGACCGCAACGGACAGAGAACAGAAATCAAAGGAACAACTCAAGAGAGGAGAAAAAAAAAAACAACAACTCAAAAGCAGAACGAAATCAAAGAGACGCACACAGAGAGAGAGAGAGTGAAAAGCATGCGAGTTTTCACAGCATCGTAACCTTCCGATATCAAGCTGCTTCAGAATCATTGCATGGGAGAGAGAGGCGAGAACATTGCGCAAGAACAACAGCACACAGAAACCAGTACAGCCCCCTCCCCTCCCAGCCCTGTCGTCGTCGTTCACTCAACACGTTCTCCTGCTGCTTTCACCTTCTCGCTTTCCGTTTTCTTCCATAAGAGAAGAAAAACCTCGCAGAAGATAAAGCGAAACGTGGGACGGGGCAGCGGAGCTGGGGGACGGGGGG